GGTTCTGAGCTTGATTGCCGGCACCACAAACAAAAACAAACGATCAATGGGAAACTCATTGAAACACATGGAGGATAAAGTTGAAAGAATATTCTAGAAAGTATAGAAAAGATGGATTAAAAACAGGACAGCAAATACAGGAAAATTAGAAGATTATTCTAGAATGTTCAATTCCCAAAAAGAAGAGAGCAAGTGAAGGGAAGAGAGTTGTCTCTACAGTAACAGCAGTGTTCCCAGAACTGAATGGCACACACTGATGGGCACAAGAGAGTGCCTGGCCTCCAGGAGGTTCCATGAGGAAAAACCCCACCACCGACTTCTGGGGAAATTTCAGACCCGGAGCTGTCAGGAAAGCTATGCGGGCAGGAACATGAGGAGAAATCAGCCTTGAGAATGTCTGCGGAAGGTGCTTCACTAACACAGTGGTTTCAGCCTCGGACTTGAGGCCTGCACAGAGCTGAGACAAAGTCCTCCGTATTCCTGTATGGGACGTTTCGGGGAACAGAGAAGTGAGGGACTGAGCAGGACAGCGGATGGTGGATGCTGTGGGATGCAGCCCCCAGCAGCAGGCATGGGCTCTCCAGGAACTTGCAGGGTGGCCCAGGGCCAGGGAGCACACGGGGCCAGAGCCTTCCCACCCCTCCCAGCCCTCCGGTGGGGCAGCCTCCTGCATGGAGTGGGCTGGAGGGAACGGAGGGCTGAGTTACCACAAGCACGGAACACTGCAAAGACGGTAAAGGGGATGAAAATCCCACAGGAAGCAGAACACCACACTGGAAAACCACCTCAGTCAGTGCACAGTGTGGCTCAGCCGAGTGCGTGCTCAGTCAGAACCATGGAGCTGCTCCACGTGGATCGGAAGCCCTGGAGGGTATTGCAGGGGAAGCGCTCACCTCTCCCTGGGCATCAGCGTGCACTCAGCATCGAGGGGCGCTGTGGGGGCTTGTCCCCGAAGCAGGTCCGCAGTAGGAGGGGCTGAGTGATGGCTGTCCAAGGTACAGTGCTGAGTGGTGGCAGAAGAGGATTGGAGAGAGGACTCAGAGGTGAGTGGGGCCTGGCGTCCTGGGGCAGGAAGCGGGGCCAGAGCGAGCCCAGCACAGCAAGGGCCAGCTGCTCTGCCTCGTCATGTCTTCCCTAGAAAGGCTTTTGGGTCCTAATGCTGGCCAGTCCTGTGTCCCTTCCCTAGCATCTTGCATACCTCTCTTCTAGTCAGCTCTAGCGCAGAATCCTTCCACAATGGGAGCCCACATTGGGGCCTGAGCGGGCACCTGGCCCCCACGCCTCCCACACACCTGCCCTGGCCTCCAAGGGCCTTGCAGCCCTCACCCGCCTCAGCGGAGCCCAGCATTCACAGTCTGGACACAGGAACAGCGGTACCGCAAACACCGTGCACACAGTGCGGGGGAGACCAACACTGGGATTCGATGTTCTCATCAAACCCGGGAGAAGTGTGGATGGTGCTGGTGCTCTGCCAGCTGCAGTGCTACTGCCGTGGACAGTGCTGCCTTGCTCTGGTATCTAGGCACGAGTGCCCGAGTCACAGAGTGAAGTCGCAGCTCTCCCACCAGCCCCAGCAGACACTAGGGATGCTCCACCTGCTCCCCCGGCCTCCGCAGTAGGCCTCTGTCCAGGCCCTGTGTTTCCAGGAAGGGGACAGCTAGACATGACTCCGAACTGACATCAGCTTCTGGATGCCTGCAGGGTCGCCGGGGTTCAGCAGAGGCTTCTGGGATCTAGTGGATTTGGCTGGGCCCCGTGCCCTCAAGTCTAGTGACTCCTGTGGGACCATCCCTTTGTAGGTGGAGGAGCCCCACATTGTCCTCTGACCTGTGGACAGAGATCTTTTACCTTCTAAAATGTTTTTCCATATTGTGCCAAGGTTAATAGCTGATAGCAACTCATAGTATAAGATGTGCACATGGAACATAGGTGAGCAGCACACAGCAAAAAGAAAAAAAGGGTAAAAACACAAACCAGAATAAGAAAGGGAACGGACACACAGGGTGTCCCCCACGCATGCTTGTACGCTTGCGCAGGGTGCACGACGCCTCACACTGCGGCCCTGTCAGGAGAGGTGCAGGGGCTGGAGAAGGCTGTGGTGGGAGGGTCCCATGGCTTATCTCCAGCAGCAGCAAGATCACAGACACAGGCAGCACAGATGACAGCCTCATCCTCACATCACTGAGGACCTCCGTGTGTGTGCCTCACTTCCCTCCAACGCCACGTTCACACTGCTCGGTGTGAAAGAGCTGTGGGCTGCCGGTCACGAGAGGGAACTGAGTGCAGGACTGTCTCCTCCGTGGCGGCGAGGCTTGGACTCTCTTTAAGTCTGCAGAGCTGCCTCTGGTGTCTTCCCCTGCAGCACACCCATAAGCCAGCCGTGTCCCCGCAGGCCTGGACCAGCAGCTGAGCACAGCGCCAACACCCGAGCAGTCCCATGTTTACACATTTCTCAAATGCTAAGTAAGGGGCTATGGTAGGACTCCTCAGAAAACAAAGTGGCCTGGACAAAGCCTGGCCCGTGACCGCAGGAAGATGTCTCACACTAATTCAGTGACATCACCCTTAGCATAATAAATGAACACACACTGCCACGTACAAGAAGCAAAATCGATGCTCAGCTTATATTTAAAACAGAAGAAGTGTGCTCTCAATAAGACACAATGGCCACATGTGTCAGCATTCGTCCCAGAGCAATTAGAGGATAAACTCTAGCCTGGAAAAGTCCGGGCAGCATCAACAAACACCAACAATGAACGAGACTGTGGGAAAGTTTAAGAATGAGAGTATGAATATCGGGTGACATGAAGATAAAGAAAATACATCAAAGGCTAAGGAAGCCAGAATCAGCGCCAAGTCAGCCAGATCTGTGGACACCAACACTTCGGAGGGAGTCAGAAATGTAGGTTTATTCTGTTGTACCCACAGCCGGGTCACAAAACCAGGAAGCCCAGGCCCGTCCACCAGAAAGCTGTCTTGTCAACAAAGAGGACGGCAGCAGGGAAGGCGCCTTCTCAGACAGGACTTTTAGGAAGCTAAAAAGGACCAGATCGAAAAGGTCACTATGCAAAATTATTTAACAATTTTCAGTATACGAACAGATCAAACCAAGTTAAAAGACGAAGGACAAAGTCAGGGGAGCATCTGCCTCTCAGACCACAGAACATCACAGGGCCGGTGTGTTCAGATCCCGGGAACACAGCAGAAAACGTGACCATGGGGCCTCAGAGCTCACGGATGGCAACACGGATGGCACAAGCGTGCTCTGGACACCCGATTTCACTGGAAAAACAAATACGAATTAAAGTGTTACTGAGACACCACTTTTCGCTTTAGAGTATCAAACTGAAAACACGCAGTTCAGCAGAGTGCAGAGGTGGTTTCCCAGCGCACAGACGCACCAGAGCCGGGAGGACACCCTGGAGACACCCACGGTCAGCACTCGCGCCTGCCACCCCGCTTCTGGACTCAGGAGGCGAAGGTGGACGGTCCATGAGGTGAGGCGCCCTTGACAGCAGAAACAGAGGGCAGACAGCTTGTCCCAGTGCAGAGGGAGTGTCCCCTGGCTGTGGCGCTGATCGGGCTGCAGGACCAAGGAGGGAGGGACCTGCGTGAGCACCGCGCTGCATCCCGCTGGGTCAGCTGAGCGCTTGTGTCAAGCAGGAGAACGTCTCTGTCCATCTGTCAGTCCATCTATCCGCCCTGCTGCAGGTCTGCACTGAAGCTGTCTGCGCAGCCCAGGTAGCATGCAGACGTTCCCCAAGCCGGCCAGGCTCACCTCCCGCTCTGACAGCGCCTGGCAGCTGCGGGTCAGCTGCCCTGGGGCGGGCCCTGGCCACGCGGAGGCAGGAGCCACAGCCACGCGTGTGCGGGCAGAACCAGCAGCCGGCGCGGGGGAGCTTGTGGGCCGGAGAGGACAGAAAGCCAGAGCCAGGGCGACGGCTATGGATGGCCCCAGGTCCATCGGGCTTGTCCTGGGTGGGAGCGAGCACACTCGAAGTCACCCATAGTATTCAGTGAACGGCTCAGAAAAGTCTGTGTGATCAGCAGTGAACCCAGAGATTCAGCGTGAGCCTGGAAACACTTGAGGCGGGGTGACAAGGCGCGGGCGCCCTCCCCAGGCCGCGGTCAGGGCGGCGGGTCCCCGGCACAGGCAGGGCCGTCAGGTCTCAGCAACCTGAAACCGTCCCGGGCTGGAAGGCCAAGTGAGCGCGGGGCCGGGCCGGGGACAGGGACGGGGACAGGGACAGGGACCGGGACAGGCCGGGCCGGGGACGGGGACAGAAGGGCGGCTCCCTTCGGGTGCGGACCGGGCAGAGGTCGGGAAGCCGCGGCCAGGAGGAGGCTGCGGCCGTGGAGACGCCTCCTCCCGCGGGGCGCCCGGACCGCCAGCGCGGTGCCTGCAGGAGCGGGAGGCGCGCACCGGGCTTGGGGGCGTCGGGTGCCCGCGGGGGTCGCCTGCGGCCCGGGCCATCTCTGGGGTTTCCTTTCGGACCCAGACCCGAGTCCCGCTCCGCCCCGCGGTTCCGAGGTCCGGGTCACTCGCGGGCATCCCCGGGCCGAAGTGGGGGGCGGGCGGGGACGCCCGGGACCTGGAGTCGCGCGGGGGACCTCGCCCGGGCCGGCCGCGCAGCGCGGGTGGGGGACACTCGTGCGCGAGTCCTCGGGAGCCCCACGCGGGCCGCTCTCGCGTGCGCCTCCCCCGCTGTTCCCGCCCCGTCCACTCCCGGAACCAGGCCAGAGCCGCAGGAGCGAGGCGGGGGCGTGGCCCGAGCCTCTCTGGGGAGGCCGAGGCAGGAGGGCCCCGCCCGCCGCCGCCCTGGGGTCGGGACCTGGGGGCGCCGCACGCTGGCGTTAGGACCCAGGGGCGGCGGCGAGCCGGGAGCCGGCGCCACCTACTTATAGCGCGGACCGGGCGAGCGCGCGCACTCGGCCTCGGAGCAGCGGACCGCGGGGCCGGGACCGACGGGGCTGAGACCCAGAGCTCCCAGCCGGACCTGCGCCCAGACCCCACCCGCCCGGCCCAGGCTTCTGCTCTGTTGCGGTTGTTGGTTGACTGTGCGACCGCCGAGCTCCCGGCCTCCTTCCCGGTCCACAGAAGATGCTGACGGCGCCAGGCTGACCAAGCGGACTGACCCGACAGACCCAACCCGACCCAACCCGACCCGGCCCGACAGGACCAGACCGACCCGGCCTACCCGAACTCCGCCCGCCGCCCCGATGCGGCTGCGCCTCTTCCCCTTCGCGCTCGTGCTGCTTAACTGCGTGGACCTCGGTCACGGCCAGGGCGGCCGCTGGCGACGCGGGAAGCGAGGTGGGTCAGGCGGGCGGATGGGACTGGACCCGCAAACCGTCGCCACCGCTGTCCCCTTGAGCCCCAGACGCCGCTGTATCCCGGAATCCCCGCTGCGTCCCCGATTCGGTGCGCTTGGGAAGGCGCGGGCGGCCCTCCAGGTTCCCATCCCGTCCCGTCTGCGTCTGAGGTCGCCTCTGCCTGGAGCGCACTGCCCAGCAGAACCTGGGACCTCCTTCCTCCCCGGGGCTGGCGGGAACATCTGTCCTGGGAAGGTGACAACATCCCCCGCTGAGCGCACTCAGTTCCCCTGGAGATGGGTACCGTGTGTTGAGCGAATCTCTGACCGCCGGGGATTCCGACCCGGGCGCTGGACAGGGCCACAGCGCTCCCGCGGCCGCCGGGGACACTGCACCCGCTCCCCTCCTGCAGGGCGCAGAGTGGAATCGGGTCGCGGGGCGGGCCTTCAGCCCACATCCGCGGGGCGCAGGGCGCGTGTCAGGCGTCCTGCCTGTGTCCACACCCAGGTGCGCGGGACTCGGAACCGCTGGACGGTGTCCCCCAACTCCGCCCCTGCCCTCGCAGGTTTTCCCGCCCACAAAGGGCCTACGTTTCTAATTAAAAGAGGACCCGCGGTCTGGCAGACCGCGCGGCCACTGTGGCCTTTGGCTTTGCGGGCTGAGGGAGCAGTGTGGCCACAGAGACCTCGCCGGAGTCCCGAGCATTGTCCTGGTCCCCAGCTTAAGCTGCTTTTAATTGATCTCGTATCCGCCGATTGATCCTGCAGGATTGCTGCGCACGGCGCAGTGGCTTCCTGAGGAGCCCAGCACTGAATGGGTTTCCTGCGCCGCCGCCCGCTCCGCTGTGCGCCCCGTCCTGGCAGCGGGGTGTCACTTTCCAGAAGGAGAGCGGTCACTAGCTTTCCGAGAAGGTGTGCGGCCGGCGGAGAGGCGCGTTTCCTGGCCGCGCGCTGCACGTGGGCAGCGGGCACCCGGCTGGCCAGGAGCCCCACCCGGACCGGTTCTCTGCCTTTTTCTTTTCCGTATTCCATCTGCAAATAATCAAACCTTCACAGAGCAGCGCGCTCGGAGCTCCTTTGGCATTATGTTTAGTCTGCTCTATGATCTCAGATGCTCCGTAATATCATTTTCTTAATGAAATAAAATTCTTGGCAGAGATCAGATAATTTAGTCAGTTAAAATCAATTGCATCCAGTCTGGAGTAGAGCAAATGTACGGTTTAACTCTGTGTTTTATTTCAAAATATAGCCAGGGGACAGAGGAGTGGAGGGTTGGCCTCTGCGGGGGCTCAGGGCTGTGAGGGAGACCTGCGAATGGCGCGCATGGCCTACTGTGTTTCCCCTATATTTTGAAACAAAATCGTGAAATAAAAATGCATTTGAGAGTCACGAAGGGCCAGCTGCAATGCCTTTTTATGAATTAGGTGCCGCACGGTGCCGCAGTGTGACCCCTCCAGGGCAGCTGGCGGGGCAGCCTGGGGAGGCCGCAGAGGCCCTGCGCTCGGCCGGGATGGCCGTGGGCATTCAGCGTGTCACCCTGCTGCCTGTCTGTCTGGGACGCGGGGATTTATGGGTACGGCAAATGGGGTTACCTGATTGGCTTTATCTTTTGGAAGGGCTGTGAGCAGCATTTTGGGCTGAGTTTCTGAACGTGGACAAGTGAATTGCAACTTTATTCGGTGTCCTGGAATTCCTTGCACTTGGCACGACATGACTTCATCTTCCGCCTCTTGCTTGCTGACGTGCCCATCATATTTTTGCCAGGGGTTTAGGCAGATTTTCGCTGGTCTTGAGAGGTTCCAGATGTATGCCTGCGTTTTTCCCGCTGGGGCCTTCCTGAGCGGCCCGGCCCAGGGCGGCCGCTTATTTCTCCTCAACATTTCACCTCCACGAAGTTGCATTTGGCTTCTTCCCCGAAAATGAAGTGCTCTTCACAATAGCCTGGTGCGGTTCTGGCCGATGAAACTGCGAAGAAAGATACAGTTTCCTTTTAAGTCCCACAGAGCTAAATGCATTTGTATTTGTCTTTTAAAAATTAATGAAGCAATTTGGAGATGCTTGTGTTTTAAGTACTTGAAAGAATGCCTTCTTTCTCATGGTGACGTTTCCAAACAGAGTGGCACGTGGAGCGTAGAAGCTACACTTAAGTGGGAGACGCATTTTGTATACGTGCATTCTTCAGCACTGAAGTATTTTGGAGAAGCTGATGCAGTGTTTACTTTTGCATTCTTCCTCCTCCTCCTCCCTCTCTTTAATCTACTGCATTTGCTTCCAGATAATGGCGTCAGCTTTGCTGGCCACCGCATTTCGTCCGGGGAGGTCAGAAACGTGCTGTGTGAAAGCAGCATCTGATTTTGCCGATGAAGCTCAGAAGTGTCCAGAGCAGGCAGTGCTTTCCTGCAGCTGAGTGGTCCTGGGTGACCTGATTCGCCCTGAAAGCCAGGCCTGGTGGGTCCAGTGTTTGCAGCAATCACACGTTGGATATGACGCCCCTAATTCCTTAGTACAAAGTCACCTCACCTCGGGATGTATGTGGGAACCCCCAGGTCACAGACTGTCTGAGCTGCTTTGCACATCTTTCCTTCCTTGACACTGCCCTCCACTCCCCCTCCCCACTGTGACCCTGCTGCTCACCTTCCCCTCCCCTGGAGTCACAGGCTGGGTCTCCGTGCAGGGCTGGGTAGGGGTAGCTGGGTACACTGTCTCCGGGAGGCCTTCCGGAAGTAGCCATCTGCCTTCCCACGCCATTCCCTCCTGCTGCTGATGTGTTCCTCTTATAGGCCTCTTTTTCCTCTGCATTCTGGTTATTTTCCACGTCTCACCATCCCACTTGGAACTGGGCAGGGGGAGCGCTGCGGAAGGGGAACTGTAGTTTCTAAAACACATTTTTCTAGAACAAAGCAAATGAGAGATTGGAATCCCCAACCACATCACCTGAATGAATGGGGAACCATTTAGAGGAAATTAAAAAGCCTGGAGCATCGGCCTTCTTGGTGTGCATTTGTATAACGCAAGGGTGAGTCGGTGTGAGGAGTGCTGGATCTGTATTCCTGTGTGCACAGCCCGGGACAGCTGAGGGGTGCAAGTTAGGGTGCTCCCTGTGGGCGTGCTGTGGGCTCCTCCCGGACCCCGGCCCTGCCCAGCTGCTTAGCAAGGGCTGTGTAACCTCAGAGCTGGCGGTTCAGGGGGCAGGGCTGGAACCAAGGCCCCGCTTTTCTTGTGGCTTTTCCCGCCCACTGTGCACATGCAGTGTAGACGTAATAAAGGGGAAATCGTCTTTGAATCCATTTAACAATTCCTCAGATCAGACTTTTACTGGATCTCAGAGCTCCCCACTAATTACAATAATAAAGTAACTGATATTAAATAACTGTTTTTTTTTTGTCTTTTTGCTTTTTATCTTTACCAGGGATCGAACTCACGACTGCCTGCTTGCAAGGCAGGCATTTATGCCGCTGAGCTAAATCCCCAGCCCCGATATTAAATAACTGAAAGCTGAGGGTAGAGTAACTGAGGGAAGGTGCTTCTAGTAAAAATTTGCATAATGGTTATGATAGAGTTTTGGATCATTTTCTCAGACCTGAATTATAGGGACCTCTTCTATTTGTGGTACTCCGAGAGCAAGAACAAGTGTATATGTGTATGTGTGTGCGTGTACACTGATGCAGTGTGTGTGCTGATGCATGTGTTCACAAGAACATGTATATGTGCTTTTTCACATGTGCATCATACCACCTTTAGACTTCCTTTGCCATGTTATGATTTTAACCTCCTGCTGAAGGACAGGTAAAAGGCACCTCGTGGAATAGAAGTTACCTTGCTCAGCACATTTCTCTGGAGCAGAGCTCACACCTCAACTTGGGGTTTAAGGTGATGTGCAGTTTTCGTGGTCTTCGAAAGTCCGATGTGACCTCTGTTCTGCATCCCCCCGGGGACCAGGAAGACACAGAGCTTCCCCTAAGCTTCTCAGAGCGGCCCAGGGTCCTCCCTTAACAAGTTCAGAAGCATCAGCTCAGAAGGAGCAGGTGACATCTTCGCAGTTGGTCAGGTGGCTGCTTCAGACTGGTCAGATTTACTTTCTAAAAGCTTGCTTTCCTTGGGTGGATTTTTCAGTCGTTTGTAGATGTGCGCTCAGCATCGTGAGGCCACAGGGAGGCCAACAGCTCGAAGCTCATCTCGGTGATTGCCGAGTTACTTGGCCAGGAGTCCCTTCATCAAAGACAGCAGCTGCTCTCTCCAACCCCACTCCAGAGTGTAGAACACGCAGGGTGAGGACTTCCTTCACATTTCTTCCCCGGCCCACTGTTTATCTCATGAACATGACACTTACCCAGGGGTGGAGGCAGTACTTCAAGCTCCCGCTGACCGCTGTGTGCTGGCCGCGGGCGCAAACGGCCTGCTGCTGTCCAGGCTCAGGCTCAGGTGAGATCTCTCCTGAAGCTGAGGTCTCCTCCCCGTGCTGTGGAGCGCTAGCCAGCAGGCGACGACCGACAGAGGGCGCACTTTCTGCTCTGCAGACCTGCTCTGCCGGCCCTGTTGACGGTGTCAGCGTCTGGAGGTCAGTACACTCGCTGAGGTGGGAGCAAATGCAGAGCGCCAGTCTCCTAAGTCTCTGCGTGGCCCTGAGACCTCGCTGAAAGGCAGTACTGACCAACTGCATGGCTTGCAGGCCTGGAAGACGTTAAAACTAGAGATTGCGTCGTCTGCAGGTAGATTCCGGCTTCCAGATCCACTTTGGAAAACTTACAGGTTTTAAAAATTTTTAGAAGTTTAAATGCTTTCCATAAAATTCCTGCCTAAATATTGAAGCAGTGACTAGTTGCCCAGTGACACTGAATTAATAGCTCTCTGTTGTTTGCGCTTAGTTAATCCCTCTTTTTCTCCAAGACTTTGAAGCTTGATTTGCTTTGTCCCATGGACTCACACAGCAAACCTGCTCCTCTCCACGAGGCCTGGTCGGTTCCAGTAGTGACATCCTGTGACCCTTCCCACATGTGCCCCT